TAAAGGGGAGGGAATAGGCAGTCCAGAGTCCAGAGTCTAGGCTAATATTCCCACTTAAGGCTGGCCAGGAAGTATTAATCCACCTTAAATAGCCACCATCAAAAAGAATCCTCTATGGAAAGAATGGCATTAGCATTACTCCTGAAAACACAGATTTTAAGCTCTCTGTTGACAAAAATCACTGCAATATAGGAAACTATTCCAGAGAACATCTCTTGTATAATATTAGAGGGACCAGCCTTAATATTATACATCCCAGGGGCTCAGGAGAGAGAACTACTAACGGCGAGGACTACTTTCAGGAAATAGAATCTCACCACACCGAGCTCTATAGTCCACTTGCTTTAATTCCTCTGGCATAACATCCTTTATACCCAGCTTCAGTTCTGTTCTCATGTCTAGCTCCTTTCTTGCCTGATTTCTCTGTTTATCTACTGTTCCCTCTTAAGTTCTATCTTAATTCTGCCTCATCTAGGTCCTTTTCACCTTGTTCTTACCCAGCTAGGACTTTCCCATCTGACTCTTCCTCATCTTCCATCTAGTTCCTCTAGTACTCTTTTCTAGCCCTTCAATTTAGTTCTTTTCCTTCTCAGTTTGTTCCTTGCAAGTTCTTACCCGTCTAGTTCTTCCATTCTCTTTTCTCTTCTCTGTCTCGTGCCCTGGAAGTCCCAGTATATAAAGGGAGGGTCCGAGCTAAATTGTGTAAAGCTATTACTTAACGTCCACCTCTCCTAGGCAGTGTCTCCTTGTGGAATTTACCTTAGGTCAGGGGACTTGCCTGTGGGCTGCTATCATTGTTAGTCCTCAGAAGTTGGGCGCCCACCTGGGTGGTGTTTCCTGTAGTCCTTGAAAGTGGCTAAGGGAGATAATCTGATTCCAGAGGAAGCCTTTCCTGAGGCTGTTCTCCAAATACCTGGAATGTGTATGTCCAGAGAGTGATCAGTCCACACTGTTAGTCCTTCTTAGGGGAAAGTCAATTGGAAAAACTATGAAGGCACACATGATTTTCATAACAGAATACAGCTGATATATAACAAGCCAAGTAATACCAAAAACTCCTTGGGATTTGGCTTCCTCTGGAGGAATTTCCTGATCCCTCCAGGTAGTGACTTTGCCATAACCAGCTGAGTTCTTATGATATATTCCTGCGGCCCGCAGCAAACATCTGCCTATCAGTGGGCTCAGCTTTTGTTATTTTCCTAAAACATCACCAGGTATGAACATAAGAGCTAGATAGATGTTCCATCTCCATGGCTTGGGCACCTCGAGAAGTCAATTTAGTGCCTGTCTTGTGAAATCTTTTGGACTGTCATTCAATTTTCCAGGTCTGTAAGTTCAGTAAAGAAACTTATAGAAAGTTACAGTTGAGGGCCCAAGAGTCTAGAAAAGTCTTCATTTACAAAAGTATTTAGACACACCTGCAAGGTCCTAGAAGCTTGCTGTTAAAACAGAATTGAATAGTTACTATCTGTGGGGTTTTGAGCTTTACAGAAGTATGGCTTTATGTCGTGAGGCTGTACTTGAATTCTTCTTTTTTTTTTTTTTTTTTTTTTTTGGTTTTTCGAGACAGGGTTTCTCTGTGTAGCTTTGCGCCTCTCCTGGAACTCACTTGGTAGCCCAGACTGGCCTCGAACTCACAGAGATCCGCCTGGCTCTGCCTCCCGAGTGCTGGGATTAAAGGCGTGCGCCACCACCGCCCGGCCGAATTCTTCTTTTTAATTGAAGAGGAATTTTGTTTTTCTGAGACTTGTATTTATGTGTCCAGGACATTACAGTTAATAAAAATTTTATTAGGCAGGCAGTTTGTTGACGCCAAGCAGCATTTGTGACTGTTGAGCAAGTCTTCTTCGGCCATAGAAATGTGTTAACCTCTCCAGGACATTCCCCCCTCAGTTCTTTGCTGACAGTACACAAGTTATCGTATAGCATGCATGGGAGGGTGAGCTCCGAGGCTATTTTCAGCTCACCCTCTGGCTTGCTTTCTAACCTTGGGAAAATCACTCCCAGGCCCTGTGCCACCAACCTGCCATCTGTAAATCAGGGCTGGTTAGTGACCTTCCTCTGGCCGAGTCAGTGGAGTCATGACTTCCGGAGGTTGGTGATTAAGAACTTAAAGATGCTCCCTAACAGTGCCATCTGCACACTTATTCTTTTGAACTTTGCTCACAGACCAGCCTTCTTGAACAGTTGATGCTTTTGCTCTAGTATCACTTCTTCAGAGGACACAATGTAGTGAGGCTATTAAACTTGACTGTTCTAGCCTCTCTCAAACTAAAGGAGGTGGGTAGGTGGGAATGAAATTTTTCATCTCACATCTTCACTTCCGTTTCTCTCAGTCTTTATCTAGGGTGCACTTGGACTGATTGCTTACACTGGATTTTGAGTTTTGTGGATTTATTCCTGTGTTGTTAGTCAATGGATGGAGATCAATATTGCCCAAAACAAATAAGATGTTAAAGTCATATATTTAAGACTGGTGATCTTAAAAGACATCTATATTATGCCATTTTCTTATCTTCATGTAATGCGAGTTTCAGCTACAACATCTCATCGTGCAGTCTAACCGAACTCACCCCAAACATCCAACCTGGGTATCGACATCCTTTTCCATGATTACCAATACTTTTTATTTTAAAAAGGCTTATTTTTATTTAGGTGTATGTATATATGCTACATGTATATGGGTGTCTGAGGAGGCCAGAAAAAGTCATCAGATGCCCTGGAGCTGGAGTTAGAGGTAGTTGTGAGCTGCCAGATGTGGGTACACTTTTAAATGTTGAGCCATCTCTCCAACCCCCATTTACTAATATTTAATGGGAGTATTCTCTTTTTTTGTTGGGGGAGGACAGGGTCTCATGAAGCCTATGCTATCCCAAAACTCACTATGCAGTCAAGAATGACCCTGAACTTTTGATCCTCCTGCCTCTACCTCCCAAAGATGGGCTTACAAGGGTGCACCATACCCCCAACGAGGATTATTGTCTTCCATCTTTTCTACCTGAGACTGTTTCCATGTGAGGTGTCTTTTTCTTGTTCCAGAGGCTTCAACTTCAGTTTCTTCTGTGTTTTCAAAAGGAAAATCCATTTACACATAGCTTCACTGAAGTTTTAAGGTTAAGGGAGATAACTTTAAATTCCATTTCCCCATTCTATCCCCAATGATTTCCCATGAGCCCCTCACTCGACATACACCCAGACTCCTCATTGTCCTCATGTCTCCAATCCCCTTCTTACTGGAACAAAGATAACACTTCTCTAAAGTTTTCATGCAGGTAAGTTTTTCATATATATATATATATATTTTTTTTTTGGTTTTTCGAGACAGGGTTTCTCTGTGTAGCTTTTCGCCTTTCCTGGGACTCACTTGGTAGCCCAGGCTGGCCTCAAACTCACAGAGATCCGCCTGGTTTTGCCTCCCGAGTGCTGGGATTAAAGGCGTGCGCCACCACTGCCCGGCAAGTTTTTCATATATTGCTAGGATTTCCCATAACTATACTGACATAGTCTCATTTAATTCCCCAAATGGCTTAACAAGGGATTTTCCCAAAGATAGTTTTTGCCCATAAGAGGAATACTGCTATCATGTTACTAAAATTTCCCCTCATTATATGAAAGTGTACACTCGTCTACATTCCAAATTAATTTTTTTTGTTTTTTTTGTGTGTTTGTTTTTTTGTTTTTTGAGACAAGGTTTCTCTGTGTAGCCCTGGTGGTCCTGGAACTCCCTCTGTAGACCAGGCTGGCCTTGAACTCACGAAGATCTACCTGCCTCTGCCTCCCAAGTGCTAGGATTAAAGGAGTGTGCCACCACCTCACTGCCCAAACCAATTTTTACATGTTTATTATTTTATGTATATTTCTTCATTAATAAATGTAGTCCATGCCAGCTACTTTAATACACATCTTTTCAATTATTAGATATGCAGATTATTTCCAGTTTTAGCTTGTTTTGCATTATGAATAGTGCTGCTATAAGCATTGTGTGAAAATAGATTTCTTTCATTTGGATTATTTTGAGTAGGTGTATTCCCAAATACAGATCAGGTGAGTAATTTCATAGATCTTGTACTTTGCTACAGCAGTCTCAAAAATGGTTATTCTGCTAAATAATTGTATCAGTAATTTTTTATCTATTCTTCTTAGCTTCATCAATGGTCTTTCTTATATTGTCCAGTTAGGTTAAAAACAGCAAGGTTAAAAACTTTCTCCAAAGTTTACCTCTCTGGGGTTTTCTTCTGTAAATTCTTTGGTCCAGACCTTGACTCTTGTCTGGAGAATCTGACTGTTAATTTTGCTTAAAACAATACAGTTCTTCCAGTGAAATACTTAATTAAACAAATTTTAGTATATTTTGAGTTGTGCAACTGTCACCACAGTCAATCTTAGAACAATTAATTCATAATTTCCCCTCAGAAAGCAAAAACCAAAGCAAACCAAACAAAACCAACCAAACAAAAACAACCCTCCACCCCCATATTCTAGTCTTAATCCTTCCCAGTTCCCCCTTTTCTGGTCTTAAACAACCGCTAATCTTTGTTTCTATAGTTGGGCCTATTTTGAGCCTTCTTATAATTGTTATACAATATGTGATTCTTACTGAATGACTTAGCACAATGTCCTCGAGGTCCATCCATGTTGTAGCACATCAGTATTTCAGTCCTTACTATTATTAAACAGTATTCCACCATGTAGACATATTTTATTATCCATGTACTAGTTGATGGGTGTGTGAACCATCATCACTTATTGTCCTGCTATGACTATTCAGTTTTTTGTGGGGGCTTTTGTTGCCTTTATTGTGTATATACGTAAGAGTGCAAATGCTGGGTCATCTGGTAACTCCGTAACTGTACTAGTAATGACTACAGTGTCTTGCAAAATTGCTATCCCATTTTACATTTTTACCATCAGTATATACTAGTATGTATCAGTTCCAATTTATTCACATATATGCTGTATTAACTGGCTAGAACTATCAAAACAAAATACCACAGACTGAGTGGCTTAAACATGAGAACTTTATTTTCTCACAGGTCTAGAGGGTAGAAATTCAAGATAGTTGTCAGCAGATGATATGGTTTCATTTGTTTGTTTGTTTGTTTGAATGATGGTCTCCCTATTTATCTCACACTCATGGCAATCTTTCTGTCTCAGCCTCTCTGAAGATGGGTTTACAGGTGTGCACCACTGTGCCGACCCTCACATCACATGGCCTTCTCTTTGTGTGCACATATGCCTATCTCTTCTTCCTCTCATAAGGACAGCTGTTATATTGGGTTGGGAGTCTGCCTTTATGATGTCATTTAACCTTAATTACCTCTCTTAATACCTTTTCTCAAATACAGTCACATGACAGGGGTTAAAGCTTCAATATCTAATGTTAGAGGATACAACTCAGTCCATAACACTTGACACTTGATACAATATTTTCTAAATTAAATACACTATGACATTGTTACCTTTTTATTACATATTATGCATCTTTAAAATGATATACATCGCACTGTGGGCGATACAGTTTTGATTTGCATTGCTCGATGGCTACTGTTTTGATTTTTCTTTGTTACTGTGGGAAAGAACCCAACTAACAACTCAGAAGAGGACAGGTTTGTTCGGGGTCAGGGTTTCAGGAGCTTCAGTCCATGGTTCCTGGACTCCAGGTGCTGGGGCAGCACACCACGCCAGCACACCACAGCAGCAGGGCATTCTTCACCTCATGTGGCTGGGAAGCAGAAAAGAGGTAGGAAGGGGTTAGGGGGAAGACAGCTTTCTAGAACATCCTCAGGAACCCAGTGCTTCTAACTAGGCACTCACTTGCACAGTTGTCCCAACCACGCCCTGATTGGTCAGCCTGTGAATCTGGCAGTGCTTTATGTCTGTTGATGAAGGCAGGCCCTCATGGGTCAATCACTTCTCCAATCTCCCCACCTCTGAAACCCTGCTTCAATACTTGAGTACCTATAGGGCACATTTCATACCCAAACCATTAGCAGCTACTAATGTTAAGCATATTTTATGTGCTTATTGGCATTTGTATATCTTCTCTAGAGGATTATCCATTCATATCCTTTGCTCTGTTTATTTCTTTGCCCTGTCACATATTATTTCTATTACAGGTAATATGTATTATTGATTATTGGGGGATTAACCATAGGATACTTTTTCTGAATCTTGAGAGTAGTGCTAGGCTTTTTAAAAATATAATATTTTAATTAATTCATTGAGAATTTCATACATGCATTGAATGTATTTTGGTCATATTCACTTCAAACTTCTCCTAACTCCTCCCAGATCTTTGTGTCCTATTTTTTTAAATAACCATGACAGACTTTCTAAGAAAAGTTAAAAACAAAAAAACTCTAAAAACATTTTAAAATCAATTAGTATGAGTAGGTGAAAATGAAAACAGTCATTTGCCAAAATATAGTAAATTAAGCCAAAAAATAAGATGGGTAAAAGATAAGTTATTCACAATGGACTAATTTTTACATATACATGTATATATATAAATCTACAATTTTTAAAAGGCCAACTAAAAAGAAAAATAAGCAAAGTAATAAGCATGAGCAGACAGACAAGTTTATTATACAGATATTACACTACATAAAGAGATCCATTGTGGGCTGGGACAGCTCACAGTAAAGTGCTTGCCATGTGAACATGAGGACCTGGATCAAAAAGACCAGAATTTGACCCAGAGCACCCATTTAAAAAGTTGGGCATGGTGGCTCAGACTTGTAATCCTAGTGCTGGGGAGGCAGAGAAGGGAGCATCTCTGGGGCTTGCTGGGCAGCCAGGCTAGCTGAATCAGCAAGCTCCAGGTCTGGTGAGAGAACTTGGGTCAAAAAATTAGGTGGTCGGTTTCAGAGAGATGATACCCAAGGTTGACGTCGAGCCTCCACACATCTGCATGCACATACACGAGAATCTACACACATGTGTACCCTCCCACAAAAAAATAAAATTAAATACTAAAACCCCAAAGATATGTGGACTGGTGAGATGCCTAGGTGGGAAAAGGCACCTGCTACCAAGCCTCACAACCTGAGTTCAGCATGGTGGAAGGTCAAAACTGACCCCAGCAAGTTGATCTCTACACAAATGCTGTGGTACCTGTGCACGTGTGCGTGTGTGTACGGAAACACACACAAGTAGATAAATTTCATTACAAGATTAAAAGATTTGATGAATCGGACACCCTCATACATTGATTTGTGTATGTTTGTGTTAGATCTCTTTTTCCGGAAACAAATCAATGTGGGGGAAGGTTTATTTGGTTCATGTCAGAACTTCAATTCACGTTCACTTGCTCTGGTGGCCTTAGGCTCTGTGGTGAGAAAGGCAGCCATGGTGAAAGCAGTTCCAGTACACCATTGGAGGGTGGGGCTGTCACACCCTCCTACTGTGCACTGTGATGGAAAGTTCCTAATGTCACCTGCTGGAAGCCAGGCCTTTGACACTTGAGCTTTAGGGGGACATTTACAATCTTCAGCCATACCGAACTAAAAAAGAAAAATAAGTCAAAGCAATGAGCAGACAGAAAGTTGGTATACTACATAAAGACATGATTGCGGGCACGTACATGCAAGCAAACACTCACACATAGAAAAATAAATAACATCTTTTAAAAATAATAAATGCCTGACAAAACCAAGTTATCGAGGAACTTATTTTGATTCACAGTTTGAAGGTCATGGTGGAGGTCAAGGCATCCGGAGCATGAGGTCACATTTCACCCTCTCTCAGGGAGCAGAACCATGAATGCTAGTGTTCGGTTCCATTTCTCCTTTTCAGTCCAGGACGGACACTGCTGCCCACAGTCAGGACGGACGGGTCGCATCCCCTCCGCTTACCTAGTCTAGAAACTCCCTCCCAGATGTGCCCAGAGGTTGGTCTCCTGGGTGATTCTAGATCCTGTGGAGTATGAACCATCACGCAGTCAAGACCTATTTGTCGAAAAAGGAAAGCGCCCTCCAGGTCAGAAGCCTGTCTCTCATACAGATCTTCTTTCTCTGCTAGTCAGCTCCAGCCTGAAATTCCGTGCGGCTTCCCCGAGCCCTGGACGACTTGGGAGACCCGCCGGCCAGGCCCCGCCCCAGGCTTCCCGCGCTCGGTGCCCATTGGCTGCCTTGTTGGTAGGCGGACCCCTGCCCGGAGCTCAACGCCTAAGGACGCGGCAGAGGCGAGGGAGGTGAGGGAGGCGCTGGGAACTGCGCTGACTGAGATGCCCGGGGCCGGCGTTCCCGCAGCGACGCCGAGCCCCTCGTCCGGGGCCGCCGGGGCGCTGCAGGTGTCGGACTCCCTGAGGCGGTGAGCGCTCCCCTTGTCCCTGGTGCCCCCTAGTCGCCTGCGCTAGGGCTTCAGGGGACGGGCCGCCAGGTCCCCTGTAACTGTCAGTCACTCCTTGGCTGCAGCGCTGGGCGTGTGGGAGGTGGCTGTCCGTCAGTTAACAGCTAGGGACGTCAAGGCCTGCGCCCTTGGCGACACCACCCGCTGTGCTGCACAGGCCCTTGGCCCCCCGCGCGCGGCCACACTCCCTGGCCAGTCCGGACCGGCTCAGCGCGAAGCCCTTGGTTCTACGAAGAAGGAGCGCACATGACAGAGGAAGGGAGGTGGGGTCGAGAGCACGGGTGGAGGGGTGGCCGTGCAGCGTCTGTGCAGCGAGATGACTGGGATGAGCTCGGCTTTGAAAAGCTTGCTCTAAAAAAAAAAAAAGACACTTGCATAACTTGCGGTGGCTCATCCCAAAATAGTTTTTGATGTCAAGACTGTAGACGTTCGAATGCAAGACCGACACGTTCCCCCCTCGAAAAGAGAAACTTTCACGTTTTCTTATTTGGTTAGTAACAGGCTTCTGTCATCTAAGAAAGTTCTGGGGGCCTACTGTGGAATCTCGGTGGTGGAGCGCTTGCCTAGTCTGCAAAGCTCCTTGAATTTCATCCTCAGCACTTTAACACACACACACACACACACACACACACACACACACACACACACACACACACACACCCCTTGAATGGGAAAAATCAAAGGAGCCATGCACATTATTTGGGACGTTCACGAAAGGCTGTTTTTGTCTTTCCACTTGTGTTCTTTCACCCACGGCCACTCACTCACCCGGGTTTGAATTCTAAGAGTGTTTAATAGCGCCCCCTCCCCGACCAGCGGAGGGCAAGTGGAAGGCACCTGGTAGTTGGAGTAGCTGACCCTCAACTCAGCATAGCAGAGGCAGCAGCTCTGCTAATCAGGGCAGCGACTGGCATGTTCCTGGAGTCACAAGGGACACTGCTTGCATGCGGGCGTTGGGAGCACTAAATGGAAGCGTCTGCTCTTGTGGTTTACCCTTCCGGCTGGAATCTCCTTTGATTTTCTGGATGGAGCTGGCTGAATGAACGCTGGGAGTGATGAACTGCATTGCCCATACTTAATCCAGCTGACTTGCAGTACCCTCTTGCGCTCTCCCAGACTTTGAGGGGTTTGTGTGAGCTCTTGGGAATGGAGAGAATGACAGGCATTGTGGAGAAAGGGATGCTTTCGTGTTGTGTCATCCTTGGCACCAGTTTTTTGAGTCACGTTCTGGTGACGTTGTTTCAGTCTGTTTTGCCCTTTCTCGGGCCCCCTGGGTTGGTTTGAGTGAAAAGGAGAGACTGTTCTTATCCAGTAAGGACCAGAGAAGTCCACTGCTGGCATTAGGTGATTTTTTTGTTGTTGTTGTTGTTTTTTTTTTTTTTTTTTTTTTTTTTTTTTTTTTTTTTTTGTGCTGTAACTTAATCTGAAGTCTTCAAAGGATGAGAGTAGTATGGACTTTTAAAATGAGTGCATATTGGAGATTGTGGAATACTACAGTTATTGTTCTTATGGGGGGAGCTGGAATGTACAAACACTAGTTTTATTCAGTAAGTAGGAAAAAACTTAAGTACTTTGAATGCACCCTTTCAAAACCAATCTTGCGGTAGCAGAATTTACTTGCAAAATTGACATGCTCTCTCCGGGTGGTTTGAATGGGAATGGCCACATAGCCTCACGTATTTGCATGCTTAGTCCCCAGTTGGTGGACTGTTTAGGAAGGATTAGAAGATGTGGCTTTATTGGAGGTGTGTTGTCACTGGGTGTTGGCTGTGAGGTTTCAAAAGCCCACACAAGGCCCAGTCTCTTTATCTGTGCCTGCTGCCTGCTGACCAGGATGTAAAGCTCTCATCTGCTGCCCTAGCACCATGCCTGTTTGTTGCCCACCGTGATGATAATGGACTAACTTTGTAACTGTAAGCAAGCCCACGATTAAATGCTTTCTTTTTTAAGTTGTTTTGGTAATGGTGTCTCTTCACAGCAGTAGAACAATAACTAAGACCCCTCTTGATTTATATTTTCTGTTCAACTAGCTTTCTCATAGGCTTAAAGATCGTGTTTTGCTGTCCCTACTTGTCAAGATTTTTAGTGTCTTACTATTTAAATTAAGCATATTTTAGGAAGGGAGTTTATAAAGTGTAGTATGTTCTTACCTTTGCTTCTGAGAATGGTTTACAGTGATCAGGAAAGCTTAGTAATGTTTTACGAGAATAGAATGACTTAAAGAATATAGGACTGAAGAGATGGCTCAGAAGTTCAGGGCACTTGTTGCTCTTGGGGAAAGCTTGATTTTGGTCCCCAGCATCCACATGGTAGCTTAAAACCATCCATAACTCCAGTTCCAGGGGACCTGATGCTATTTTCTGGCTTCTGCAGTTACCAGGCAGCCACATGGTACACATACATACACTCATACAAAACATACAAATAAAATAAGTAAATCTAAATAGATTTTTAAAACTTTTAGCTGGGTGTGGTGGCACACACCTTTAATCCCAGTACTCAAGAGACAGAGGCAGACAGATTTCTGAGTTTGAGGCCAGCCTGGTCTACAGAGTGAGTTCCAGGACAGCCAGGGCTACACAGAGAAACCCTATCTCAAAAAAACAAAGCAAATGTCACTGGGCAGTGGCAGCTCATGCCTTTAATTTCAGCACTTGTGAGGCAGAGGCAGGAGGATCTCTGTGAGTTCAAGGCCAACCTAGTCTACACAGTGAGTTCCAGGACAGCCAGAATTACATATTGATACTATTTTTCAATACTGAAGAGATGGTTCAGTGGTTAAGAGCACTGGCGGCTCTTCTAGAAGACCTGGGTTCAATTTCCAGCATCTACATAGCAGTTCACAACTGTCTGTAACTCCAGCTCCAGGGGATCCAACACTCTCACACCAATGTATATAAAATTTTTAAAAATCAAATTTTTAAAAAAGAATATATTAAGTTGGATGTTTTTAAAACATGTACTATGATTTGTAGAATGACAGAGTATGCTGTATCTCATCCCAAATAATTTTAAATGTCAGGATAATCACTGGAATGCAACATTTACACTTTTGTTTACCAAATAGTAAGTTTGAGCTCTCATATTTTTGGTAATGTATCTTTCATTAAAGAAATATTGCAAAAATACAAAAAACTAAAAATACCTGGTTGCTCTAGTTCCTTACTGTCCCTATGATAAACACTCTGACCAAAAATAACTTGGGGAGGAAAAGGTTCATTTGGCTTACAACCCCAGGTCATAGTCTATCATTGAAGAAAGTCAGAGCAGGAGCTCAAGGCAGGAACTATGGAGGAACCATGATGGCTGTCTTGCTTTCTAGCTTGCTCAAAGGCTCATGAGTAGTTAGCATTCTCATATAATCCACCTGCCTAGGGATGATTCCACCCTTAGTGGGCTGGACCCTCCTACATCAATTAGTAATCCAGACATTCCTTCACAGACATGCCCACTGACCAATCTGATCTAGGCAGCTCCTCAGTTGAGGCACTCCGGTCAGATGACTGTAAGCTGTGTCACTCTGACAACTAAAGCTAACTAGGACACTAATGCTTTCAGTACTCAATTTTGAAGGATCATCATTATTTTTACAGTTGCCTTCAGCATGCTTTCACCCACAGCTACATGCTCAGCTTTCAATTGTGGAATGCTAATAGTATGGAATATGCAATTTTAGGGGTGAGTGGGTGGAAAGCCTGATAGGTTGTATTAAGATTTCAGTTTTTCTCCATTGAAATGTTAGTACCACTAGAGACTCGGTGTTTGGTTAAATGAGAAGCTTATTCAGATTTTCTATTATTATGACTAGGTAACTATAATTAGCTTTAGAGTCAAATGATAAACTGAGACTGCTTCTTTTGTTTATTTAACTTTCCATCGTTCTTTGAATTTCCCCTCCAGATGTTTTAATGCCATCAAATAGGCCAGAAAATGCAGGACTCTGTCAGTTTTCATTTTTTAAAAGAGTGCTTCTTCATGTCTCCCATCTTTACACTCTTGTCTGCTCTTTCAAGACAAATACCTTTAAAGAGATAAGAAAATAGATTTGTACAATAGAGAAGTATGGAAAGAAACCATCAGAGCAAGAGTTCTAGGAAATCAAAACAGAATTCTGAATGAAAAGACTAGAAAATAATGTTGTCTAGGTTTGAAGCATAGCCATAGTTCTGTGTTATTTATTTATTTATTTATTGGGGCGGGGGAGTTTTTCGAAACAGGGTTTCTCTGTGTAGTTTTGGTGCCTGTCCTGGATCAGGCTGGCCTTGAACTCACAGAGATCCTCCTGGCTCTGCCTCCCGAGTGCTGGGATTAAAGGCATGCACCACCACCGCCCGGCTGTGTCTTTCTTTTTAAACATCTTTTTTTTTTTTTTTAAATGTGTATGAGTGTTTTATCTGCATTCCTGTAAATGTACCACATACATGCAGTGTTTGCAGAAGCTAGAAGAGGGCATCAGATCTCCTGGAAATGGAGTTACAGACCATTGTGAGCTGTGAGTTGGTGCTGAGAACTGAGCTTGGTTTTCTGTAAGGACAGCGAATATTTTTAACTTCTGAACTGTCTCTACTGCCCCAGTCGTGGGTTGTTCTTGTCATCGTTCCTGGTATGATTCCTTTGCTGTTAGATCCTGGGTTTTTTGTTGTTGTTGTTGTTGTTGTTTGTTTGTTTTTGTTTTAAACAGGGTTTCACTGTGACTTCCTGGCTGACCTGGAGTTCACTCTGTAGTCCAGACTGGCCTCAAATTCACAGAGATCCACTTGATACTACCTCCTGAGTGCTGGCATTAAAGGCATCATGCTTAGCTAGTTCACTCATTTGTTTGTTTT